CACACACACACACACACACACACACATAAATAAATAAAAATTTTAAAAAAAGAACTCAAAAGAGCAATTACATATAGAAAGGTACAACACAAATAAAAGGAAAGTGAGAACTTGAGGATTAGACAATGAGGAGTGGGCAAGGAGAAAAGCTGGGAAGCATGACGGGGGCAAAGCCATACAATTGTACGCATGAGATGGATGGGGTAGTGATCCTGGGGGACATCGGCAGGTTTTTGAGACTAGCGGTTGGCTGGTGGGATTCTCACCCTGACTAACTGTATATGCTGGTGCCTGTGAATCAGGTGGCTGCACTGAGGATGGCGATGTGTAATAGAGGGGTCACGCTTGGAGTGCCTGTCATCCTGGTCTTCTAAATATGTACTTCTTGTCATGACATACCATTTATTGCCATAATGTCTCTCAAGTAAAGGTTTTTTTGTATTTTTTTCTTTAAAAAAAGGTAATAAATGAAAAAAAAAAGACACAAGAATAAGAAAAAAAGTCACAAGTCTGTCCTGTTACAATTCTGTATATGGTTAGATTTCTAAATTTCTTTGTAAAAATATGTAAATGCTTATTTCTAGTTTTTTTCATTATTTTTCCTTCATATTCTGTAAGACTTAAAGTTCAACATATCAATATTTGATGGAAAATACCTGTTCCATGATATGCCAAAGATGTTTGATATTTAGACAAACAGGAAAAACCGAACTGCATATATTGCAGGTTAATAATAAGCTTCTCTTCTGGAGGGTTAACAACCTAAGTTAACAGATCAAAATTGAAGAAAAGGAAGGGCTGCAAGGTCAGCCAACATTTTGGCCCTAGCCTTTCAAGGTCAGTGAAGACTTGGGACATAGGAGAACCTGTAATGTAACATCATGTAACTCAGTTGTGCTCTGAATTCTCTGATCAAGGAGATTATGGAGCCACAGAGGAATGTGATCGATGATGTCTAGTGTGCCTGGGGAGAGTCACATGGAGAGAAAACATTCTCTCAGGCTTTCACAGAGAATAAATTGGTCAAGCAATGGCCATGACTCATCCACATGGCTGACCCTGACAAAAGATCTACAAAGTGCGGTACAGGGCTACAGGATAAATCCTGAGGGTACTTGACTGACCTTTTTTTTTTAAATTTTTTTTTAACATTTATTTATTTATTGTGTGTGTGTGTGTGTGTGTGTGGCCAGCTCAGCCCACCAGGGGGGGCAGCTGGCTGGCATGTGGTGCTGGGGGATCAAACCGCGGTCCCTGTGCTTTGCCAAGCTTGTTCCAAGTAGGTGCTTTAGACCACTGAGCCATCTCTCCAGCCCTTGACTGACCTTATGAG